GAGGCTTTGGTGGGCGATTACAACGGCACACGTGTAGAACATACGCGTGTCTCAGGCACGAGAAGCCCTCACAGGCCCAGCTGGGTTACCCGAGGGACCGTCTCACCCCCATTATATCCACCTGTCTCTCCCGGTCAGGCAGGGGGGGCATGCCGCGCTCCCCGTCGATGAAAGAATGTCGACTGGCGGGGTCCGGAAGGAGAGCCTTCTCTGCCCTATGGAATAGGCTCCCCCCAGAGGTGGGGCAGGCCCCAACTCTTGTCCTTCTGGAAAGCAGTCGAGACCTGGCTCTGCCAACTGGCATGGGGCGAGAAAAGGGGCAACCAACCTGGGGGTGGCTGGCACCTTGAAGATGCTCCCATATGTTAACGTCCTTTCGATCACCAGCATCTTGGAAGATACTATTATTTGTGTATGCGTTTGGTTTTACTGTATTTTTATACTGTTTTTATTGTACTTTAATTAATATGTATTTGTTGTTTTATTGTGAACTGCCCAGAGTCACTTCCTTGTGAGATGGGCGATATCTAAATTCAAAATATAAATAAATAAATAATTTTTTTCTGCCGTCCCGTTTCCTTTTCCTGCTTTTTCCCTGCAGTTTCTTTTTTATGCTCTGCTTCATTCAGTTTTCTGCCGTCCCGTTTCCTTTTCCTGCTTTTTCCCTGCAGTTTCTTTTTTATGCTCTGCTTCATTCAGTAAAGGCAAAGCTCTTTGTCTGATTTGCGTCATTGTCTCCAGCCAGGCCACCCGTGCTGAGCAATGGCAGGACAGCAGAGTCTCCGTGCCTATCCCAGGCCTACTCTGGAGTAGGACCTTCACGGGGACGGCGTTTCAGGGGATTTCTGAACCCCGACCGCTGGCTCCGAGAGATCCTTTACCTGCGCGTTCTCTCTGGAAAGTCACACTAGGGAACCCTGTCCTGCCTCGCGGCTCCCTTTTCTCTGACGTGGGGAGCAGACGTGTCAAGGTGGGGAGGGGAAGCCTCCAGAGGGGCAGAAGAAGAGACCAGAGACTGCGAGGGAAGCCAGGACCCAACGCCTTTATTGCAAGCAAGCAAGGAATGCATCCCGTGTGTGCTTTGTGGGGAGGGTCTCCATGGTGGCCGCGGGGAGAAAGGAGGGTCTTTGAGTCACGTTGGTGCACGAGACGCAATTCAGGTGGGTCTTCTCCTTGGCGATACTGTAAAAACAAACATTCAGATATGAGGTTTCTGCCCATAGTCGCTTGCAGTACTGCCTAGGACTTAAATGAGGTCCCTGCGGACCTGCCGTGCCTAATCTTACAACAATGGAGATCCAAACTTGAAATGAGGAGGAATTTCCGGACTGTGAGAGCTAGTAAGCAGTGGGATGGCCCCCCACCTGGAGTCACGGGGGCTCCAACACAGGTTTTCAAGCAAAGGTTGGGCAGCTGTTTGTCTGGGATGGTCTGAGGCTTCCTGCCTGGGCATTTATTTATGTATTTATTTATTAAATTTGTATGCCGCCCGTCTCCCCCAGCGAGTGCCTCTGGGCAGCTCACATTTAGAGAAAAACCCACATACAGTTAAAAACTAAATACCCACATTAATTAATTAAAAAGTCAGGCTATATAAAACAAACCCTATACATAAAAAACTAAAAACATTCAAGATGACGGGGGGGGTAGAATCAATTGCCCCACAAGCCACTTCCAGTGGTGCGAGCCCCCATCCGGCCCCCAGGCCATCTGGCATAGATTTCACGCTCTTCTTGACGGCCAGGAGAGCGGGCATGAGAGTGGGCATGGACTGGACTAGAGGTTCTCTAGCATCTTTTCCAATCCTATGAGAACTCAAGGTCACTGCTCGGAGCTTGGGTGAGGGCATGTTCACACGAGGACCACACTGAGCTTTCTAACTGGACAGGGAGCATTTCTTACGGTCAGAACTGTGAGCTCGTACCTGGCTCACCTGATCAAGCCATAGGTCTTCATGTCACCTGAGCGTGGACCAGTTTTTGTCTACAGGGAGGCAGCTGACTGGGCTGGAGCAAAACTGGTAAGGCGCTCTGCCCCGCCTCCCCTTCTCTTGGGAGTGCTCATGGCCTTGGGAATTCTGGCTCCCTGGCCAGGCTTTAGGGGGGCAATCTTCTTGAACACACTGCCCAGCAGCAGCCGAACTGGGAAGCCACTATTCTAGAAGGAGCAACGGTGGTTTCAGGAGGAGGAGAAGTCAAAAGACAGTGGGAGGGGAACACGAAGGGGCAGCCTGATGGCTTCCACAGAGTGGAGGTGGCTACCTATCAGGAAGAAGGGCCACACCACACCACACCACACCACACCACACCGACAGGTTTGCGTGCTTGCTGCTCGAGCATCACGGCACCTTTCTTTTTCACATCAGCTATACCTTTGATGGACAAGAGGCAGAGCCTGGAGGCAGCCTGAAAGACCCCAAGGAGATGTTCATATGCCCAGGCCAAGTCTACGCCTAGGAGATACCACCCAGCAGTTCCTTTGGTCTAACCAATCTAAACAAGCGACAATGTACAGATTTTACCTTAGGCAGGACCCATGCAGGTAATCTTGCAACCAAAAGGGCAACACTTGCTTTTCCCAGAGCATTCCCAGTCACTTCCACACAGCACGGGACAAATAGTGATCAAATCTTGAGGTGGCTGGGGACACACCCCAGGCTTTTCTGCAAAACAGAACATCCCAAGGCTGAGAGACTCCCCCTGCAGTGGGAATCCCAGGGCAAGCAAGATCCCATCCGGGCATTTCAGCAGCCAAAGCCTCTCCATGCACCCAGGATGAGATGCGCCGGCTGGAGCAGGATCCTCCCTCCCCACCTCCTTCCCCACAACGCCCAGCCATTTCCTTATGGGGTCCACTCCAGCAAGCAAGGGGCCTCTCAGCACACTGGGCTGGATGTTATAAGTGGGCTCCTCTTTCTTGACTTGGGATCCTGAGGTGGAAAGGTGCACACCCTGTTTCCACCAAAGTGGAAGGTGGTTCTCCTCGTGGGCATGCTGAGGGTCCATCTCGGCCTGCCTTCCCATCAGGAAGGGATTCCAGGAATGGGAGGCGCGGCCCTTCTCTGCCGGTTCTGCATAGTCCCGCAGCCCTCTCCCCAAATACAGAGGGGATAAGACGGCGCTCTCCCTCTGGACCGCTAGAGAAGTCTTCTTTCCTTCGGTCTCCTGGAAATGGCCCTGGAGTTCTTAGGTTAAATGTGGAGGGGCTGCAGGGAGCGAGGTTCATGTTCTGGGCTGGCGCGCTCAGCTCACGCACCTGGGCTAATACAGAGCTGGGTACTTGGTGATTCCGGGACAGGGCAGGGGGGAGCAGTCGTGCCAATACCCAAATCAGCAGGGACAAACGATCAAGCAGAAAACAACTCCCTAATCAAGGAACTACCAAGGAGAATATCATACCCCACCAACACTGGACGGGCGAGCTACTGTATATAAACAAGGAGAAAACCCCACCCTCCCTCGCACTGATGATGGTCTCTAGCCAGGTAACGAAACGCCTGCAAGCAAACCACCAAGCAGAGAGCCCCAGTTCAGCCCTGAGCTACAGAGAGTGGAGCAGCCATAGCCTGTTGTGAACACCAGGATATTTCGTTAACGCATCCTATGCTCGATTTCTGGACACAGCAGTTCTTTCGGGTGAAGAGGCCACCCACAGCTCCTCCCCTACTTACCAACACAGGTGTAGTGACATTGATCGTGGGTCTCAAAGTTATTGGCATTCCCCTTGCATCCACCATAAATAAACTGTTGACATTTGTTTGAAGTTGAGTTGTAGAAAAAGCGACACATCTTTGCTTTACACGGCCCAGGATCAGCAGGAAGGTGACAAAACTCTGTGACACACGGAGAGGGAATGTTATCTGCTTGGCAATGGGGAGCAAAGCGGTTCCCCTCTTGGTTGATCAGCTAGTATGAAAGCCTTCAGTGCACTTCCCAACCTGGTGCCCTCCTAACATGCTCAGCGATGAGAGCCATTTGGTTTCCTGCTCCGGGGGTTGGACCAGATGGCTGGAATGGGCCGTTCCTGCTGCTTAAAACCGTGATTCCGCCGCTGTGTTTGGTAAGGACAGGTAAGCCCTCCCCCACCCAGCAGCCTTTCAGGGATATCAAAACTTTCAGTTTGTGAGTGGGGGTGCGTGGGGTGTTTTAAAGCAGAACATATTTCAGTCTCTCTCTGTAGGTCTTGACCATCCTTGCTGCCTGTCTCTAAACCCGTCCAAGTTTTCTGCATAAAGTTCTTAAGCTGGTGGGCGTAACCAAAGCAGAATGACATTAGTTGTCAGTAGTAGTCACTCTGCATTTATCTTTCTTGGAGCCCCCTCCCACTGCTGACCCCTGTTCAGTTGACAGCCAGCTACCCGTTCAGGAACCTTTCCATGAGGACCGTCACCAAGCCAGAGATCCCAGACCTGGGCCTTCCTAGGTGAAGAACATTGGTTGCTCTCCATTCATTTCAGCCCCTTTCTGCCAACGGCAGTTTCAAGATCGTTCCGGAGGATCTCACCTGGACGATTGTTGGTGACAGGCGTCAGCTCTGCCCGGAGGGTCAGGAGTCCCAGCAGCAGCAGGAGACCTCCGGAAGGCATGATGAAGCCGGCTTGACCGTCTGCCTCGCACTCGGGCACCTCGCTCTATATATGCTTGTAAACAGGTTCAGAGGGGAATTTCATGCTTGCAGATCCAGGAAGCAGGATGACTTAATGGGGCGAGGAAACAAATTATTTTCTCTTTCACAAGATGGTCCAACAATCCCTCACGAAGGTGAGGCCGATGTGGATTCTACAATATTTATTTATTTAAATGTTTAAGCCGCTTGACTCCAATGACTCTGGACGGCCTGACATATACAAAACCCGTAAAACCAGAGTTAAAATCCAATCGATGGCATCAACCAGAGGGATGAGCAGGCAAAATTTCCCTCCCACCAGCAGGGGCAAAAATAGATACCCTCGCGCACGCACACACCCGCCACCACGCTTACCCAAGGCCTGGGAAGAACCCTGTTTTTGGCTGGTGTGGGTCTTCCGGGCTGTGTGGCCGTGTTCTGGAAGTTGGTTGCTGGGGAGGATGTGTGCTGGTCTTTTTGTTTCCTTCTTAGCTTTTTTATTGCCTTTTTTGAACAGTGTGTAGATGCTGTTTATCTCTATGTGCCTGTTGATGGCTGCCTTGTCTGAATGCCAGGCTTCCAAGAATTCCCTTGCATTTTTGGATCTAGCTTGGTCTAAGATGCTGACAATTTCCCACTTGAAGCTCTGGTTGTGTCTGTCCACGTGTTGTGAGATTAAGGAGTTTTCATCGTGTCTTCTGACTGCTAGTTGGTGCTCGGGGACGCGCTCTGCCAGCCTTCTGC